TGGAAGCAACCATTTGATCAAGGGTTCATTCTGCTGCGGAATGCATTACAATTGTTTAATATCAAATCCTGTTCTTGGAGAAAATCTTAAATTCTTCAAAAAATACCCTCAAGGGAAATCAGCAAAACAAAACGAATCCTGCAAGAAATTAGTTCGGATGTGATCATTTCAAGAAATCCAAGTATTTGCTGTGTATGGAGTCCATCAGCTTTGAAACTCGACTTGATTTCCTTTTTTACCAGGCGGTGAGCAGGTATTGTGAAAACGTTTCGGACCTTTGGGGGTCACTATTTCGTCTTTTTTAACATTTTTTTTGCAAGCAAATCAAGAAAAATGAAGTACTGTACTGAATTACTGTAAATAAAATTCTTTCTTCGGTGAACTGGCGAATTTGTCAAGCGTATTGCAACAAGCAAGCTAGTCAACCTCGGATTACGCAAGGAACACTTTCGTCGTGTACTAAATAATACCGATCGGGTTGCGTAAATACATCATTTATGTCTATGATAGAAACATACCAAACATTCTACAACTTCGATACGCACGCGGCAAATACCAACACGCATTTGTTGGTATACACCGTGGATTGCATTTAAGGCGATGATGTAGAGCTAGTATCATTTATTCTCGATGGACTCTGAGAGATCCTTGAAGAACGGAAGTCGGGGACAAATCTATAGGAACAATGCCAAGAATTAGGCATTGAGATTTAAGTTGCTCAAGTCATGAAAGCATGTTCGCGTGAATGCCTCGAATTCCGCCTGGGCTCGGTCCATCAATAGCATTCACATGAATCGGAGAACACGTGAACCGAGGATGATAGAACACGATAACAGGTAAGCACTGTACAGTATTGTGTAGAGTAGATGATTAATAAATAATAATGAATCATGCTCACCGAAGAATTTCAGTAGCTCCAGCACTCAAGGATTTCACTGCGACCATTTGCTTCGAGGATGAGCGCCCTGGCTCGTCAGCATGGCAATCGAGAAGGCACAGGCTTACCTGAAAATCGAGTAAAAAGAAAAAAAAACCTGCCTTAAAACGTGCATGAAGCAAAGCTGAATGTGCAAAACAGAACCTTGGAGGCGCCGGGTATCGATCCCGGTACCTCTCGCATGCTAAGCGAGCGCTCTACCATCTGAGCTACGCCCCCAGTTGAAAATCAGTCGGCTATTTAGCGATACCTGAACCCAAGAAAATTTTTTTTTAAAAAGTCAAGAACTTTACAGTACTTTAAAGTACTGCACAGTAAATTTACTTCTAGTCTTCATTTCTGCGTCAGCTGTACATACTTTGATAAGGACTCAGTCGTTTTTCTTCAATTGCATAGCAAAGGGCTCCGTCATAATGGGATTTCATCATCGTAAGAAAAATGGATCCGCCAGAGTCAAAAAGTAAAGGATCTCGTGCCCGTCAATTCAGTACAGTACAGTACAATGATGTCGAGAATATTCCAGAAGTTCAAAACTCACCTCTCCGTAGTCATCCATGCCTAGTTTGCGGACGAAGTGAAGGTTTTTCCTGTCGACACGAGCCAACCTTGACGAGTCCATGGAGAACTGCCGCCGCGAAGAACAGCCAGGAGTCCAAGATGGCACTCGCTTGGAAGGTGTCACTCCGCTCGTCGTCGACTGAAAAACACGTTTTTACCATTACCATTCCAATGCCTAAAATTACGCCATCAGCGCAGGTTTCTTCCTTCGTGAAATATTAATATTAATTTCGCATTATTAATTTTATTTTATTTTCTGCGATGACGCTTTTGATTTCCTGTCGACTTTACGCGCACATAAGTAGCGAAACTTCGCGAAGAAATTTCTGCTGGATAATATTGATTTTGTTCTTCCAAGTTCAAAGAAAAAATTATAGCCTTCCGCAATGCGAAGGCTCATGCTGCCAACATGGAAACACATCAATAATAAGGCTCCAGTGAATTTTATCTTGTCTTTTAGAATTTCAGACGCATTTCAATGTTATGAAAAAGTTGCAGGGTGCCATCTTGAAGGTTAAAACGGAGAAGGGCGTATCATTTCTGCTTGAAATTCAATATTTGGCGCACCAATAGTCTTCTGGAACAAACAGACTTTTGTGCGAATTTAACAACTGATTTTAATTTGGCCTCATAGCTATATTAAGCCTCTCCAGTGTATAGGCTCATGACCCAAAACCAGTAAAGTACTAGACAGACAAATGAACCGAATTTCTCCCTGTGATGAAGTGCATACCTCAAGAAACGTTAATTACCTCAGCACAATGTTTTCTCGAGACAGTCCAGACCAGTGTACATTTTCTAAAAGAAGAACGAAGCACCATTGTTCGGAGATCTCGCCTCGAAACTGGGTTGAATGGACGTCAGAAATTCTATCCATTTTGGTTCAGCACAGAATGATGGAAGCCTCTTCTGAATAGGTTTTCGGCCACAATGGACACGGACTACCACGGATTTTTTGTGTGTGCCCCCGGATAGGACATTTTACAGGAGATTATCTCTCCAAAATACTGTTTTTTTGAATTCCGTTAAAATTGCACAGAAGAAATTTCACGTCAGTAAAAGGAGACCGTGTTTCGTGGAAACTTCAACCTTTCCTAAAAGGACGAGATCGCAGTTGCCTTCAAATAATTGACTTTTGCTGATGAAATAATTTTTCAAGATGAAATATCCTCGTGTTCTCGTCTGTGTTGACCATTATTACATTCCTTGCTCCTGCTCGTTTTTGCTGCAAAATTTTCAGATTTTTCATCGTTAATTAATACTCATTCATTCGTTAATTCATTAAAGACTCCATCACGAAGAGAACTTCGAAAACAATCTTGTACGGAATATATTTTCTATACAGAATCACACGAACATGACTTATCGATCAATTGAATTCTCACGCGGGAAGACCACGTTTCTTATCCGAGGCATCAATATACGAAATTCCTAAAACCACTAAAAATGTTTAAAGAAATTCAATAGTTTCCAAATGCTTTACTTTCTTTCCATAGCGTGCTTTTTAGGTTCTTCGTTGCGTGAATCACACAATTCACAAAAAACTGGTCTTCCCTTCCGTCCAAAACAAAAATTTACAAATGGACAACACCAGCTATCGAATCCTATTTTCGCAAATCAAGAAATTTCTTTTTTTAAATAAAGAAACATTAGAGTGGACAGCGTTAGGACAGCACTACAGCTTACACAGTATGCGCCGATGTCAGCTGCCGCGGCTTCTGCAGCCGCCGCCGCCACCATAGCCCTATAGTCGCTTACAAGGCTGGTGGGCCCGGTGCTGGTGGTGTTGCTTTCTGCTTAAAAATGGCGAACTCGATGGCGAAGATTTGGCAGACGACGAAACTCGACCTAAATTGGTGACGGTCGTCGCGTTGCCACTGGAGTTGGTGTTGCTGGCGTCGCCACTAACATGCTGCTGCTGAAGCAACAACAAAGACGAGGCCGTGGTTGGCACAGCATATTCGCCTTGCGACACACCTGCATCTCCTGCATTGTATATATATATATATATACGCATCGTGAATATTTTTCATTTCGCGAGAGAGCGTGATGAAGCATGCAAAATAATCGAACAGCGGTCCCGAGAATAACGACTCGCCTCGCTTATTCGCAAGCTGGATGCATACAATCAAGTTGCGAATATTTCAGCTCAAACCATCCATGGAAGCAAGCTTAATTAAAAAAAAAAAAAACAGAAATGAAAAATAAATTTGGAATGGAGCAGTTGAAGACCGAGTTTATTGCGTATTGAGGGCGCGAAATGGCCGGTGCAATTTTCAGCAGAATATGAGAGAGATGGAAAAACGAATCCTACGCAGATGGATGCGAAGAAGAAAGGTATGCAAACCATCTTTATTCTGAGTCATGAAAACTCGAGATTACCATACACATAATTTGCATTCCTTCGCATGCTGTAGATACAGGGTAAGCCAAACATTTTCCAATAAGATTCGTCCGCATAAAATACAATATGCTGGAGGTAATACAATTCCGGTTTGTCCTCGGAATCAAATTTTTTGCATTATCAATCTGAAGCAAAAATTCCTTCAACAACTGTAAGATTAATGACGAGGCTAAAGACCTCATTTCTTTTCATATAATGACAAAAAAATCTTGAATTGTATCCCCAATTTGGGAAAATCGTCCCACGTCAATCGATATTTAAAAATTCGCTCCACATTCAGCAGCAACAACAGAAGACTAATCTAAATAAAACGTTTTCTTCATTAAAAGAAAAGAAGCAATTGCATACAATCGACAGAGATTTACAAGAATTATCGCCCTGAAGTTTTTTTTTTCTTTTTAGACACATATCGTATATTAATACAACATATGGAAAATAATTTTCATTGGTTCCATCAAGTGACTGAGGTCAGAAAATCGGTTGATGCTGAGCGGATTAAAAAAAAACAGTCTCGCCGTTCTCAGCCATTCAACCACGAATGCTTTTCATTTTTATTCTTGAAAGAACTTTCACCTTCCTGAGCTGGCTCAAGGCAATTTCGATCACGTTTCGATAGTATAGATAGAGCAAAATGAAGAAAGTTTTTCATTCGAGTCGTGCATTCGAAATAAGTCAATCAAGAAAAAAAACGGAAAAAGAAACAAGTCTGACCTGATACTCTTCGTTCATACGATTCGGAATAACAGCTGCTCGTGTTTTCAATCGTTGTGTAAGCGTGATTTACGACCGGAGTCGGCGTCGGGTGTTTCAGTGGAACTATTTGCGGGTGCAAAATTTCATATGGAGGACATTCATTGCTCGGCACGACCGTCGGCATCAGCAAGGAATTGCACGGCAATCGCCGAACGACCACAACCATAAGTTTTAGGAGCAGGTGACTCTGGACCGGCATATAAAAGGGCACTCTTGCTCTTTTCGGCAACAACTTGCTGCGGTTTAAGTACAAGTAGACGTCTAGGAAGCGTTCTCAAACAGAAAAGAAAATATAAAACATATTACATTTCATTCTAAAAATAAATAAAAAAAAACGAGCAAATACGACAAAATGCATGCGATCAGCAGAATTCATCTTGCTCTAACTTTCTGAGTCCCGCACACAGAGGCACTCTATTGTACTCTCGTGCAGTCATTCTTGATTAGCCGCCATCATTTGTCTCTGAGGCTTGTGGCAGTTTAAAAGCATTGGTCGTTTATAAATAAAATGAAAATCAAGTAAAATATGACATAAAATTATTTTTCGTCAGGGAACAAAATAAAAATTGCCCTAGGCTACGTGAAGTATTTCTCGCTAATACATCTCAGTTTGACAAAAGGTCATCAAAATGCCTCTGGGTTGCAAAGGCCTAAGTCGATAAAAAAAAACCAGGAAGAGTAACTCCTGTTTTGGTTTTCAAAAAGATGTAATAATAATTCTATTCTAGGAAATACCGCCTCCCAATGATGATTTTTCAAGCCAAATTTTTAGAGATTAAAAAATATTGGACTTTTTTCAGACTTGGGCCTTGGTGCAAAAATTAGGTTCTTTTCTTCTTTTTTTCGGTGCTCAAGGGCAAAAAATTCTGCAAAAATGTCCCAACTTTGCCGCAAAAGGGTTCAGCTCACCTTCATGTTGATGGTAACACTTTTTTCGGTTCCGGCCAACGGAGTTCCACCGGTCTTGAGACCACGTCCGCGGTGTTGCCGCCACCAGAGCAACGCCACGGCGACGCTGCACACGGCCGCCACGGCAATCACGACTCCAATGATGACTCCTAAGGCTTGCTGGTGTTGGTATTCAAAATCCTCGTCCACTGAGACCTGGCCGTATATTTTCCCGTGAGAACGAGAAAAGCCGTTGTTGAACGACGCCAAATTCATGTTCATCTGCAGATCCTTCGCAAGAGCAAGACGAACAGAGAAGATAAAACATATTACATTTCATTCTAAAAAAAAAAAAAAAAAAAAACACGAGCAAATATGACAAAATTCACGCGATCAGCAGAATTCATCTTGCTCTAACTTTTCCGCACACAGAGGCACTCTGTTGTACTCTCGTGCAGTCAAACCTTGATAAGCCGCCATCATTTGTTTCTGAGGCTTGTGGCAGTTTAAAAGTATTGGTGGTTTATAAATAAAATGAAAATCAAGTAAAATATGACATCAAATTATTTTTCGTCACTGAACAAAATAAAAAAAGCCCTAGGCTACGTGAAGTATTTCTCGCTAATACGTCTCGGAGGTAAATTATGTAATCTTTGCGTGTGTGTGTGTGCACATGTTTTTTGTTGGGACCTCCAACAAAAACTTGAATCATGTTGGTGAAGCAGGGAAAACAAAATTAATTGACTGGAGCATATTTGAGTAGTCAATAATTTCGGCGAGGGTTGATTCAATGAGGTTGGATTGCATCTTATCATCCCTTGGGAAAGATGGGATTTTTCAGAACACAAGGTGCATTTCAGTTTGACAAAAGGTCATCAAAATGCCTCTGGGTTGCGAAGGCCTAAGTCGATAAAAAATCCAGGAAGAGTAACTCCTTTTTTGGCTTTCAGAAAGATGCAATGTTAATTCTATTCTAGGAAATACCGCCTCCTAGTGATGATTTTTCAAGCCAAATTTTTAGAGACTAAAAAATTGGACTTTTTTCAGACTCATTGGGCCTTGGTGCAAAAATCAGGTTCTTTTTTTCTTCTTCTTCTTTTCAGTGCTCATGGGCACAAAAATCCTGAAAAAATATCAAAACTTTGCCGCAAAAGGGTTCAGCTCACCTTCATGTTGATGGTAACACTTTTCAGCCAAGGCCGGTTGCCTCAAGGTGGCCAGAACTCTGGTGCAGGCGCCACAACGGCGGTGGTCTCGTTGCGGTGCCGCTGCGACGTGTGCCGGCGGTGCCGTTAGTGCTGAGGTTACTACTGAGGATTGTACGTGTGATCCTGGGGCTCCGTGGCGGCGGTCTCGTCACCGCCGCCGTTATTCACCAATGCTCGGCCAGAGTTCATCCGCTCCGACGCGTCTTCCTTGCTGCCGGTTTCCGCGGTCGACCGATTCGGAGGGTTTCCTCCACTCTTGCCAGGATTATTGTTATTGTTGTTGTTGTTTGAATGAAACACGGAAATGTGGTCGGTTTCGCCATTGTCGTAATCGAGAGACGAAAGGATGGGCTCTTCTTCGTCCGGCCGCTCGCCCTCGACGATTTCTGCAGCAATATGCCGATTTAGAAACGTTATTTCATTGGCAAAATGTTGGATCTTTGTCAAAGGGGAATACTGAAATTGCGTGATATTTTTTCGAAAGCCAAAGAAAATTTCAAGAGTTGGTTCAAGACGAAGGCTGTATTCGAAAAAAAAAGGTCGCATTCGGGGAATGCAGGAGACGCGATATTGGGGTGAATTGATATTTCCACCCTTATGATGTAAATATTTAACCGTTAAACGAATATACAAAAACTATGATTTTATTGAAGTTTTCACATCGTTTTAATTTGAAAGACAGCAATGGTTTCGCTTTTCAACTAATTTTTGTTGCTAGAATCATGCCCGAATCGCTTCATTTTCCAAGAGAAAGCATACATTTTATTTCAAGAGTTTCAATAAGGCAGACGATGCTTCGAAAAAAATATTAAATTTTGGTAATTTCTGGAAAAAGAAAATATAATGCTGTGGTATAGTATTTTTATTTTGCGGATTTCGAGTTTAGTCCTTTTTAGGGAGTTTAGACAATCTAATTTGTTGAAAAAGGCCACTGCAATTGTACAGTATTTTGTTTCCATGCTGTATTTTGAGGGTTTTCCTGCATGAAATTTTCGACAATTTTTTTTTTCGGTAAAAACAACTATTATTACTGTATTTTTTAAACCATGAAATCGTACTGTATATAAGAAACTGATGAGCAAGATAATAATTTAATTTAGTACTGTATCAAGTAAGAAAAATTATTGCACTCCACAATCCGTGATGAGGTACAGGTACGTATGAGGTACAGAACCTTTCAGATAATTTTTCAAACCTATCTATATTACTTTACCATATCATTGCTGTACTCGTAAATAAATGTAATGCAAGATTTTTCAAGATTTGAAAATGCCTTTATGTTGTAAATAAAGTACAAGGTTCGTCTGAAAGGAATGGATATGACAGTGAAAATTCAAAATTTCAAACGCCATGGCGAGAGGAAGAAAATTTTTCAACGTTAATGATGTTTTATATTTTTTGGAAAATCATTCCGGAAAGTTCGAAAACAGGCCAGTTTCGTCGAAAACACAAAAATAGTCCACCTCTATCATTGACTGATCCAGTTCGTGACAAAAAAAAAATGGACGTAATATAGTTATTTTGGATGCAAAATTTCGTAAGCCCTATTTTGAAAGGATATTTATCCCTCGAACTCATCAGATGATTGCATCAATCGACGCATACATTCGAAAATTTTAACTTCCATTCAAGTGCAGTAATACATTCCCCACATTGTAAAGCTGTGTTGCTCTGGGTTTGACGGAGCCCCTCAAATTGTAAAAGCGGTCGAAATCTGACGTCACGAATGGTTGTTACTTTATAGCGGCCATTCGCAACTTTTGCCGAGTGAGGAGTGAATAATAAATTGCTTGTGACGTCACTTATTGCTCCGTTTCGGCATTTCAGCACAAAATTCAAAAGAAGTAACGTAATACAGTATCGTTCGGACACAAATCGAAGGTTCTTTCTGGTCAATATAATCGTTCGATTGGCTTCCTGACAACAACGAAACACATGATTCATCTAGCTCATCAACCATTATGCATTTCAGTCCTTCATGATAACTAGAGTATAGATTTTATGATCTCTTGGAATTTCAAGCACGATCTCAGTCAAAACCAAATTTATTCTCTGTGAATCATGATTGATGATAAAGGGGTTGAAAGTGTCATTGAAAGTGGAATTTCGAAGTTGAAATATAGATGGCAAAGTGTTACTTTGGCAAACGTGGAATGCTTCATTTCCTGTAATGACACAGTCGAGGCATTAGTTTGAATAATTTGAATTACGTTCAGAAAAAATAACGAAAATTATAGCACTATACTTTCAAAAACTGGTGGTTCAAATCAAATCCCCTTCCTTTCAAGCACGATATTTTTTTAGAATTGCATACGGAATTTGCGTGGTTTGTAAGAAACGTTGTAGTTACAAAAGGTGTCGTAAATTCTGACGTCGCACGGATGTTTGCTGGTGTTTTACAGCCGCAATTCGCAACATTTTCCGACTCCGTGAGGAAAGAAAAACTTTTGCGACGTCATCAATCGCTTGATTTTTTTATTTCCTCAGGCGCAAAAGAAAAATTACATATGTATATTTCAGACACGAAAAGAACCCACTTCACTTAATAATTGGCTGATTGATTTCTTGGCAAACAAATAGAACCACGGCCAGATAATGCATAAAGTATTCCGCTCCGTTCTAACGGCCCGACGGCTCCTTCGCTTCTTGCAAATTTACTTCTAGTTAAAGCCGAAGTATTCATAATCAACAATCAAGAAACTTGGCCATAAACGTCTCATTTTAATTTGAAGGAAAAATTACTTTTAAATTGAAATTTCAGCGGCGTCGGAATTATTCCTTCTTTCTCGTTACGTCCGCCGCGAAATTGCGGCTGTAAAAATCAGCCCTAGGTCACGTCGGAGAGCATTTGCTTGCTTTATGGCTTCGGTGCCGATGAATTAAAGGTTCTTTCTAGTCGGAGAACCGCATGCTTTTATTGCCAGAATTTCCCAGCGACTGATGGACGAACTGCTGACTTATCTCATCCGGCAGAAGCATTTTGAAAAATTCCAAGGGTTTGTCAGTCGATTTTTTTTTTCTGAACATGCATTCGAGTCTGGTAGGGAGGTGGAAGTAAAAAATAAAAAAAGTGTATCATCAGAAAAGAACTACCGAATATCAGCCGCATCCTGGTAAAATACCCAGTTGGAGCTTTAAGGCTGTCACTTTACCCTTAAGGAGTTCGAGAGAAAAAAAACAACGAAGTCATTGTGAAGTCAAGTTAGCGGGCAGAACATTAATCTCGTGACAACAGTACATCATTGGAATATAACTTTCATCTTCTATCTTTCGAAACGATCGCACAATTTTGGCGCGCATTCGTGGATTCAGTTTTTTACAATTTACAGTATCTTAAAATCAACGGTAGGTTTTAAAATCTAATCCGTAATCAGGTGAATTTTTGCAAAAACAAATCAATTCGTCAAAAATCATTGAAACGATAATGTATGAAAATATCAATGAGCCCTTCGTGTCGCAAGAATCTTTGAAAAGCGAAACGATTTTTTTCTTATTTTCGAGAAATTACGTCCGTATCTTAGCCCTCGACATTATTAAATTATTTCTTCTTCACAATGTGCAAAAACTATTTTATTCGTCATGAAATCAGTTAGCCGGTGATTACGACGAGTGGTTCGTGCTATGTCCCCAAAAGAAACCTAATTTTGCTCTTTTTGAGCATAAACAAGTAAAACAGACTGCTGTTTTTCTCGTTTCACTGATGGCACGGAAAAAAGTCGTTGTTGGCGAAAGTAAAATAACGGTCATCCGTGACGCCAGATTGCGACCGCATTTACAACTTGAGGGTCGTGTTGAAAGCAAGAGTATTCACATGAATTCAACGTTGAGATTTTTCTGCAACTGACGGCGCATGTTTTTTTTTTTTTTTTAACGAGTCGATTGATAGAACTTCCCTAAAGCAGAAAAAAAGAATTTATGTAAAGTTGAACCTGTGTACCGTATCGTTACGGAAACCGAGCCTAAAATTCGCTGCATATCAGTTCGAGTTCCGGGTCATTTGTTTCGCCAACATGGTTCAACTGAAGATTTCCGAATGGCTTCAGAAGGACAAGGCGATGCTTTGAGAAAAAAATTATGTCCCGAAACTTTTCCAGATTTATCTTCTATATACTGTTTTCTATAATTACACTCGCGGCATTCACAGAGGTAAAAAAAAAGCTGATTCGAAATGCTCAAGGATAAATAATCCCGGACTTTAGAGGCATATCTGATGCAGCTTGGCAGTTGAATTTTACAATTTACAGCGATTGTTTGAGGAAAAACCAACACGATCCAGATTAGGGAATCAATTCAAGGGAGAGGCGAACATAAATTACGATGTTCTTCGAAGTGTCGCGAGTGACAATGACCGACTTTTCATAGCAGAATGAAGACGGATGACACGTGATGGTCAATCGTACCTCTTATTTTGCTGATTTGAAAAAGTGAGAGAGTGAGAACAGATACCCTTCAAAACAAGCAAAGCTGAGATCAACATATAAAATCAGGACATTATCTTAGGGGCCTCCAAAGAAAATGTACTGGGAGAATAAGGAGTACTTTTTATTGGCAGTACTTTTTTATGTCACGTTAGATTTCAGTTAGAAAAATTTTCGACATCTTTCACAGCAGATGATGGTCATCAGAAAATTTTTTTTGTGCCCCCACTTAACTTTATCTCATGTTCAGGTAGACCTGGATCTAATTTTTCTAAACCAGCAATAAAAGACCGTAATTAAAATGACTTTCGTTATTCCCTGAACTGCAATAAACACGAGTGTTCAATTTTTGAAATAAAAACAAATTTCTCCATGAGAGTAACGGCCACTTTCTATAAATTTAATTTTCTCATAATGAAAAAAGGTTATTTATTCTAAACACATACTAGCATATTCAACATTTTCCAATATAACCGAGGGATCCAAATTGTTTTTTAAATTAGCTAGAAAATGGTAACAACTATCTACAGTATTTGAATGTTTTTATTTAAAACGTTACCTTTTTGAGAAAATGTCGCTTTAACTTCGAACCTGAGATGCCCTCCAATGAAACACATTCCTATTTTTTGAAACACATTTTCGAGGAAATTGTGCTTTCAACATTCGATTTCTGTACTTTCAGTTTGTCTTATTTTCCCCCCCCACATCAATGAAGATTCGTGAGTGATTTCGCAAAACCTTTTATAGAAACCCTCGTCCTGCAGCACTCGCACACGTGTTATTCGAATCGAAGTTCTTCCGCACCGGAGATGTTCTCCGGTGGGTTCTGATTCTGGGTCATCATCATCATCCTCCTCAGCCAGCCAGACGGGTTCGTGAGAAATGAAACATTCGCATCAACACTCACCGGAAACGAACGTGACTTCCGAGATCATCATCCAGTCGGCCGCGTAGAAAAGCTGCAATTTGACAAACTTTCAGCGTAGGACCATTTTATGGGTCAACCTCGAAATTCCGACAGTGAAATGGGAATTCCTCAAGCTCTCTTTTTTTTGTTGCTTCAGTAACACTTCAGTTCAATCGCCCGTCTTGTAATTAGAGCACTGTGCAGTACATCATTGGAATATAACTTTCATCTTTTGTCTTTCGAAACGATCGCACAATTTTGACGCGCATTCGTGGATCCAGTTTTTTTTAATTTACAGTACAGTATCTTAAAATTAACGGTAGGTTTTAAAATCTATTAGTCCGTAATCAGGTAAATTTTTGCAAAAACAATTCAATTCATCAAAAATCATTGAAACTTTGAGGTCGACATACGGATAATGTATGAAAATATCATTGAGCCCTTCGTGTCGCAAGAATCTTTGAAAAGTGAAACGATTTTTTTTTTTCGAGAAATTACGTCCGTATTTTAGCCCTCGACATTATTAAATTATTTCTTCTTCACAATGTGCAAAAACTATTTTATTCGTCATGAAATCAGTTAGCCGGTGATTGACGACGAATGGTTCGTGCTATATGTGCCCAAAAGAAACCTAATTTTTCTCTTTTTGAGCATAAACAAGTAAAACAGACTGTTGTTTTTCTCGTTTCACTGATGGCACGGAAAAAAGTCGTTGTTGGCGAAAGTAAAATGACGGTCATCCGTGACGCCAGATTGCGACCGCATTTACAACTTGAGGGTCGTGTTGAAAGCAAGAGTATTCACATGAATTCAACGTTGAGATTTTTCTGCAACTGACGGGGCATGATTTTTTTTTTTTTTTAAACGAGTCGATTGATAGAACTTCCCTAAAGCAGAAAAAAAGAATTTATGTAAAGTTGAACCTGTGTACCGTATCGTTTCGGAAACCGAGCCTAAAATTCGCTGCATATCAGTTCGAGTTCCGGGTCATTTGTTTCGCCAACATGGTTCAACTGAAGATTTCCGAATGGTTTCAGAAGGACAAGGCGATGCTTTGAGAAAAAAATATGTCCCGAAACTTTTTCCAGATTTATCTTCTATATACTGTACTGTATTCTATAATTACACTCGCGGCATTCACAGAGGTAAAAAAAAAAGCTGATTCGAAATGCTCAAGGATAAATAATCCCGGACTTCAGAGGCATATTTGATGCAGCTTGGCAGTTGAATTTTACAATTTACAGCGAATGTTTGAGGAAAAACCAACACGATCCAGATTAGGGAATCAATTCAAGCGAGAGGCGAACATAAATTACGATGTTCTTCGAAGTGTCGCGACTCGCGAGTGACAATGACCGACTTTTCATAGCAGAATGCAGACGGATGACACGTGATGGTCAATCGTACCTCTTATTTTGCTGATTTGAAAGAGTGACAGAGAGAGAGAGAGAGAGAAAAGATGCCCTTCAAAACAAGCAAAAGCTGAGATCAACATATCAAATCAGGACATTATCTTAGGGGCCTCCAATGAAAATGTACTGGGAGAATAAGGAGTACTTTTGATTGGCGGTAATGTTTCATGTCAAGCTAGATTTCAGATAGAAAAGTTTTCGACATCTTTCACAGCAGATGATGGTCATCAGATATTTATTTTTGTGACCCCCACTCAACTTTATCTCATGTTCAGGTAGACCTGGATCTAATTTTTCTAAACCAGCAATAAAAGACCGCAATTAAAATGACTTTCGTATTCCCTGAACTGCAATAAACACGAGTGTTCAATTTTTTAAATAAAAACAAATTTCTCCATGAGAGTAACGGCCACTTTCTATAAATTTAATTTTCTCATAATGAAAAAAGGTTATTTATTCTTTTATTGTAAACACATACTAGCCCGAACTACTCAACCTTTTCCAATATAACCAAGGAATCCAACATTTTTTAAATTAGCTAGAAAATGGTAAAAAAGATTTACAGTATTTGAATATTTTTATTTAAAACGTTACCTTCTTGAGAAAATGTCGCTTTAACTTCGAACCTGAGATGCCCTCCAATGAAACACATTCCTATTTTTTGAAACAAATTTTCGAGGAAATTGTGCTTTCAACATTCGATTTCTGTACTTTCAGTTGGTCTGACTTTTCCCCCAACATCAATGAAGATTCGTGAGTGATTTCGCAAAACCTTTTATAGAAACCCCCGTCCTGCAGCACTCGCACACGTGTTATTCGAATCGAAGTTCTTCCGCACCGGAGATGTTCTCCGGTGGGTTCTGATTCTGGGTCATCATCATCATCCTCAGCCAGCCAGACGGGTTCGTGAGAAATGAAACATTCGCATCAACACTCACCGGAAACGAACGTGACTTCCGAGATCATCATCCAGTCGGCCGCGTAGAAAAGCTGCAATTTGACAAACTTTCCGATCCGATTCCTCAGTTTGATCTTGACGAATCGGGGATGTTCCAAGATGTCGTCCGGGGCGTAAAACACGGTCAGCGGATTCGTGTTGTAATACCGGCCGCCGACTCCGAAAAACACCCGCGCGTGAGAAAACACCTGCAATCACGAGATTTCACGGGTAATCTCAATACCGGACACACTCAGTGGGTTTCACAATCCGCCTCGCATCCTAAATCTTTCCGTATGGCGGCAACAATAATAATAATATTGCGACTTTTTGCGCGAAAGAATGGATATCCCACTCGCGTGTCCATGTTAAGACGTCCCACGTCGGCGAAAGCAATCGGCGAAAGGACGGGTTCCACCAAAAATTCGTTCAAGTTCTCCTTGACGACCGGGTCTAAAATGATTCCGAGAATTCCATTCCTTTACTTTTTTCACAAGAAAAGACCGATGACGTATTCCATCGAAAACTGAATTTTTTTAGGCACGACCTTCACAATTTACCGCAATACCTCAAATAAAATACGCACTTTACCCCATTACGATTTGCTAGAAAAATGAAAAACGCGTCGGATATTTGATGGCTTCTTAAATTTACAGGTCATGGGCACGGTTTGTTACGACTTACGACCAACGCAATCTTTTGAGGGAAATACTGTAATAGTGGAAACTTATTTTAATGAATTGATGATGGTATTTTTACTTCTACCGTGCGTTAGATTCGAATTGACTTCTCAGCCCTGATTTCCACTAGAACTTTTCGGCAAGATGAGACCTGAAGTACGAGAATAATCGACATACTTTACTTGAAACTTTAATTTTGGATATTCAGCACTCCAAATATTTTTCAGAATCTATCAGTCTCGGATAAATTTAATATTGTACTTATTAAACTTTGAGTAGTGGAGTCGCGGGGAGTTAGCGAAAAAAAAGTTACCTCAGGGCTCTGACGAAGGTCTTCATGCAAGAAAATTTAAAGACGGATTCGCACGGAAGATTTCACTTTGGGTTAGGATTCATCTACAGGGTGATGTGTGAAAATATAGTTCGCGTCCTAAAGAATTCAATCCCGAAAGCCAAGCTTATTTTCATTGAAGTGGAATTTCGCATTTGAATTCATCCCCCTATAATAGAGTCCTACACAGTCAAACATTGCTAATTCAAATTTGATGGCACCAGCAAAAAAATATCAAGTTAGGGAGTTGCAAGCTGAAGAAACAAGCAGTTTTGTTAGGAGAAATGAAGAAAATTGGCCAGAAATTGTAAATGGTGATATTCTGGGTCTTGAATTGATTCTTAAATGAGTTGACATTGGATTTAAGGGTTCATGTGCCAGATTAGTCTTTCACTTCCTTTCAAAACACATCTTTACTTTTTCATGGTTTTTTTTTCTTTTCAGTGTCAAGAAAATAAAAGCCCAAAAGGCCTCCTAAAAATTTGCGTTATGGAGGCGTGAGAGGAAAAGTCTTCAAGTCAGACAGGTTTTTAATGCATTGTTTCTAAAGGAATTCAGAGAGGGATTTTGACAAAAGAAAATCGTCCTTGGGAGGTTTGAGTTTATGGAGGCTCAACCCTAATTGGACTACAGTGTCTCGCAGAAGTGAAACATTGGATGGATATACGCGTCATCTTTAGCAAACCAAAAAAATGGCCTTTTGAAAAACCCGGACCATCACCTCGATCTTGTTGTAGACCCCTTGATGGCAAAATATTTGAAGGGACAAAACGCGGATTGAGTTGGCGTGGGCCGCCGCCACGGACTGACAACATCAAGCAGTAAATTACGGGGAGATTACAATCATCCGAAAGACGCGTGCAGGAATATTCAACATGCGTGAAAAATCGCGTCATGATGACCGGCCGGCTGCTGGGGCGGTTCGCAGAGCTTAAAGTTTTCCGCGGTTTAATCCATTCGTTACGCTAATCCGCTCCACCCAATCCAACCCATTATTACCAAAGCATTTCTTCCCAGTCGAAAATCCCAACGGACCTCCCCCATCCCCGCTTTTATCGCATCATTTCAAGAAGGTTTTTCACTAATGAAGATATGTTTTCTTTTTTCAATTTGAGGGGGGGGGGGGGGGGGGGGGCAGAAAGANGGGGGGGGGGGGGGGGGGGGGGGGGGGGGGGGGGGGGGGGGGGGGGGGGGGGGGGGGGGGGGTCACAGAAAGAGTTGTGAAGGGATGTTCATCGAATACTCTGAAGCCATGCATTTTCACCTGAATAAATAATAGAAACGTTACGTGAGTGAATATTAAAAGTTGTTCCGTTTTTTTTTTTATTTTTTTTTTGGAGGGGCTAGCAGGCAAGGAAACATTAAATTCAATTTAAATTAGAAGAACTTTGCTGACTTCCGGAATTTGAGCGATGTGCTTGAAAGTTTCAAAACTAATGTACTGTACTGTATATTTTAAAATTAGATTCTATGTCGTGAATAGCTGTACTGTATTACGATTGAACCTTGATAGCACAAAACTCCACAGGTCAAATTTTTTTTCTAATACCCCAGTGAATTCCTCCAGAAGCGAAGCATTAAAAACCTCTCCCATACTCAAAAGCTTTTCTTTCAAACCTCCATCAGCCAAATTTTCTGAAGGCCGAAACTCATATTATTTTATTGACACAGGAAAGAGAAAAGCAATACAGTACAAATATAGCCTGATGTGTTTTGCAAGGAAGTGAAATAGTAATTGAGAAAATAAACACATGTCCCTAATTTCAGCATTATCCTGTCCATACAATTATGAAGCAATTCATTCAATTCGATAAAACCACTAATTTCAATTTCCCGTAAATATTATTTATTTCCCTTACAAAATGCCTTCTTTCCATGACTGGAAATCTCTTCACTGGTCCCTTGAAATTCAACTTATGAAGGTTCGACCGTAGTATAAAAATTTTGGCGGTTTCATAAACCTAACGCTTGAAAATTTTCCACACATTCCCAAAAGTGCCGAAACTCTGCGTTTGCATTCTCTCAAATGTATCTGGATTCTATGTATTCCTTTCATTGTTTAATCTTCAACTGTCAATGATAGAACATTATTGTCTGTACTTTAATGTGCTATCTTTGACGCAAATTTGAAGCCGCTTTATCTTATACAAATATGATACGAGAAAAATTGCGAATTAGGAAAACTCATTGAATGAAAAACATGAGACTGAAAGTCATGGATCTTGCGCAAGGCACCTTGCATAACAGCAATAACTTGTAACAATCTGGGGTTGTGGGGCTCAGGTGATCGATAAAATTCAAAATTCGATCTAGAGATCGCAATTTTTTTCTCATCAATACGGTGGTCATACGAATGCAGTTCGGTGGATTCATTGGAATGGGAATCGAAGAACTTCGATTTAATTCCTTTTAATACGCTAATAAAACCCTCGGTTCAAAAATTGGCGCACCACAGAATAAAAAATATTGATACCTACGCGTATTTTCCCCCAAAAATAAATAGACTGTAGACGAAAACTGAGACGCATTTTCTTCAAGAACATCTCTTCCGGGACTGTTGCCAAAAAAAAAAAGTTGCGAAATTGTATCATTCTTCATTTTAAAATGTCTAATTTTATTTTTCATAAGAAATTTCAAAGACGTGTCACGGTCTACGCCAGTATTTTCAGATCCCCGTCATAGAAATGACGATAGGATGAAACTGGTTGAAGGCGAGATGATCGGAATGACGCCTCGATTTTCGTTGTTTTCATGCATATTTTCTTCTCTCTCAAACGTTCTGGCATCAGAAATGACGAGAAGAAACGAAAATAAATCTCACCTTCACACCGTCGGAAAACTTGTTGCTCATTTGCAGCGACACTTCGGAGAAGTTTCTGACGTCGTCGAACTCGAACGTGATCTCCACAGGCCCCGACGATCCCGTCACGTTCCGCCAGCCCACCCACGGCGAACCTGCTCAGTATTACAAATACCAGACGAAGCCCGACTCACATTATTAGATTCGTTCATGGAAGCAAAAGGCATGGATCAAGATAGATACGCCGCATAACGCGCCGCAGCTATCCGATGGAACCCTTATATTCTGTCCGCCGGCAGGACGTGTCCCGAATGGCCCCGGGTTGCCTATAATGCTTTTCGTTATTCAGTCTTACTGTGGATAATCTTCAAAAAATGAGGCACGTCTATACCTTGTTATACAGTATTTTAGCTTTTTTTCAAGTTCAAGAGAAAAAAGAGGATACAATTCATGGAGTAGTATACAATTTTTAAAAAGTTTTAAGCTTTGGTGCGCGTCATACTTTATTCCAACAGGAAATTTTGAACATATTTCAACAGAAAAATGGAAATGATGGGATAATCAACATTCATTTTACTACAATTCCACTAAAAATCTAAATTATAATTTATATTATTCCCAGCACATTTCAAACATTCTGGTAAGTTTTCTCTTGAAACTGAAATTCTTGTCATACTCTTGCAACTTGAACGATACAATTTAATCCAAAATTGAGGATACGTACAAAATTGGTCCACTTGTTACATTCTACATTGAGGTTTGGAAAAATGCTATAATAATTTATTTTAAATTCAAGTCTCTTCAATAGCGAGGTGAATTGAAATTTACGGAAGGAGTCCAACGTACATTGCTTAAGGAAGTTTAAAAAGCGAAAATGCTCTTCAAATTTGAAAATTCTCCTGCTGGGAAAATGAAACGACTCCAAAAAAAATTACGAATAGTATCTCGATTCAATTGATGAAGAAAATTAAAGTCCGTCAGGCATCCGGGCTCCAAAAATCGCCAGAATTCAGAAAAATATACCAAAGTCTCGTTAAATATTTACTCAAAGAACACACACCCTTTTTCAAAATTTAGAGGAAAAAAGAGGGCCCGCGTCATGGACAGGTATGACATTGCAAAACAATTTCAAAGCTCTGGTGCTCGTCATATTGGATTCCAACAGGGAATCTTAAACGAATTGCAACAGAGAATATAAAAGGGTAAACATTGGGAAAATCAATATTCAAGTGGACTACAATTCAAGTCAAAATCGGAATCACACTGTATTTCATTTTCAAAATATTGCAATTGCCAGTCTCGTGAAATGAGATGCACACCTTACTTTTGGATACAGTTTTATCCAAATTTTGCGCTGCCGATTTTGAGTTCATCTCTCATTATTTAAAGGCGCATTATCGTACTCAAGGAAATACGGCAGGTTTAGAAAGAAATATGCCACGACGTGTCCTCCCATAATTTTTGAACACAATTTATTTTGACAGACGCCGCCAAGACCGTGTTTTGATAGCACGAGATGATCCCGGGGGATAAGACATTGAGACGGATATATTTTTATATTCTTCCGAGGCCCAAGGAATCACAGCAGGGAGACGA